AGAAGTGGTGAACAACAAGAGTATTATTTTTTGTATTATTGAGTTATGACGTGTGTGTGTGTGTGTGTGTGTGTGTGTGTGTGTGTGTGTGTGTGTGTGTGTGTGTGTGTGTGTGTGTGTGTGTTTATGTCCCTTACCGGTGTGACGAGTATCTGAGCTGTGTACGTCTGTCTCACGTTCCTCTTCTGTAGAGACATATCACACACAGTGGGTTAGAATAATACTGCAGTTTTTCCATCCAGAGAATCAGTTAGATTCAGCTCTGCATTCAGGCTTTAAGAAACAAAAAAAGTGCAACAGGGATGAGACCTATTGGCAGTCTGCAAGGGCCTTATGCATTCATACCACATTCACTGCCAAAATGCTGTTGAGCAAGGGTGCAGCAATGTTTTTTCTTTAGGTCAAATCTGATTTTATAGATTAATTTTGTTATATGTTTTTCTTAGTGTTGGTCAGATATGTACAACCTGTCCTCCGGGGAGCTCTGCGTCCTCTGCCAGCTTTCTCCCATCCATCAGACACACTCCGCTCTCCAGCCGCTGTGCCCACCCTCTCAGCTCCTCCTGAAACAAAGAGCTTTCTATTGAAGTTCCTGCAAATGAAAGTGTGAAAGTGTGTGCTGTATGTATGTATGTATGTATGTATGTATGTATGTATGTATGTGTGTGTGAGTGTGTGTGTGTGGTGTTTGGCACTAACCTTAAGACATTTATCCATGTTTTCTGGATCCGTCTTGTTGTCTGGTAGCGGCACCAACATGTCCACATGTAGACAGCAGGACACCATGCTCCAGGAGGAGCACACCCCCGCCTGGTACCTCCAGTCTGCAGGCTTGGCCGTGCTCTGGAACAGATCATCACATTAACATTATTGGAACTACACAATGCTACCGACATTTGTGAGTCACAAGCTTCAACCTTCAGACCCTGATCCCAATGATTCCCGGTCAACAAATATGCCGCTGCTTTTTATTAAAATAATAACTACTCACATCTTAAGCTGCACTGGAACTTTAATTCTGGTATTTATAACAAACATATTCTATTTTATCTTTTAGCTAACAGTGTTTTATTATTTGTCCCTATATATACACACTTTTGCTGTAAAAATGTAAATGACCCCTCATTGGGACGAATGTTTTTAAATACTACTTAAACATAATATTATAATACAGTATAATATCTTAATGCTTTTAGGGTTTTATGCAAAGCACTTTGAATTGCCTTATGTTAAAATGCCTTTGAAGTGATGCTTCAGGAGAACAAATGAATGGAATTGATGGAGTGGCTTGAGTATTCTATAAGTGTTGAGACAGCAAATTGAAGCAGTGGTTCTGTGAGAGAAAGGTAAACACACCTTGGGATCTTTGACGTCAAAGGTTCTGCAGAAGGTTCTGATATGTGGGGTTAAAGAATATCCACACATTATCTGCTGGCTGACTGAAACAATGAGCAGGCGGAGTGGAAAGGATACTTCCTGGTCTTGCGGTTGATGTGCAGTGCGACACAGTCTGAGACATCATCCTCTGCAGGGCTCCACAGCTGCTCCGAGGAGACCAGGCTCTCCATCGCGAAGACCAACTGAACACAGAGTACACACACATCAGAGGATTAAAACACACTCACAGGTACATGCACATGAGCCATGGAAATGTGATGTGGAAATCACTTCCAGAGCTTAGCAGAGCATCACAAACACAGAGTGCTTATTTTATAAAGCGAGAGTATATATACAGACAGTAAATATGAGACTGAAAATGGATGCTGATGTTTAGTTAAGGGAGACACCACAAGTAAAATAGACAGAACAGAAAATAACTGAATACATTGGGTGACACGTCAGGATTGCCGCAACACAAAACAACAAACAAAGCAACAAATCAAATGTTAAGGTTCATAGTGGGAGATTTTGTATTAGCGGACAGGGCAATCTTCTGTGTGAGGTTCTTGTGTGTGTGTGTGTGTATGTGTGTGTGTGTGTGTGTGTGTGTGTGTGTGTGTGTGTGTGTGTGTGTGTGTGTGTGTGTGTGTGTGTGAATTGTTGGTTGGTAGTTCCTCGCTCCAAGTTTTAGACAGAAATGCATTTGATTCAACTTGTTCCCTTGTGACCTCAAATCTGTGAACACCTTTAAAAAGCACTTCAAGATGAATCTGTTTAGACTTTGTGTGATTAGGCTCTAGTGGTGTTGCACTTTGTATCTGAACTTTGAGGGCCTAAACAATGCTTTCAAATGCAATTTTCTTCAGCACAAAATTCTAAAATGGTGAAAATGTATTAAGAATAAGCGTATTGTTATATGCGGGCAACATGGCTCAACAGCATCCCCATCATGTGCCATTTGCCTTTATGTATGGAATTCAGAAGGTATATGTCACAAATGGAAACAAAAAAAGGGCTATTGGAGGAATACCATCATTTATTTATTTAGGTTTTCATTTATTATGTATCATGGTATCATTCTCTTTATACTTGAGTCTGTACTTTCTTTTCACTTGCCTTAAGTGACATTGTGAAAGCCATTGTGGAATCCTGTTCCTCAAAAGGTACTGCATCAGTAAACGTAGGTCCTAACAAGTCACAACAACTTTATAATCAAAGGTAATCTGTCATATATTGTAATGTTTGTTCGCCCCCTAGTGGCCAGAAATGGATTGCTGCAGCTTTAATTGTGCGTACATCATGTACATGTACGCCGTGTTTGTATGAATTGTACCTGTCGGAGTGTGGTTAGTGTGTCCTTTGCCTCAGTATCAGTGATGATAAATACTCCCAGTACAGAGAGGCCTCCAGGTAGCATACGAGACACCTGAAAACAGATCAAACCAATTCACATCCTGCAGGCAAAGCAAAAACACATGACATCTTAAAGTGTGATTGCTAGAAAGAGAGAAACAAGTTTAAGTTTGTTTTTTGTTTTGTTTGTTCTTGGCTAAAGAACAAATAGCTTCTACAAAATCATTACATGCTATAGATACATTTTAAAAGGTATTCAACCAAGTGGAATTCTATTTTTTGTATATACTATTTAATGAGTGTGTTCTCCAAACCCCTACACACTCTGAACTTTTGTAGTTCATTTTATACACACTTATTATCTAATAAAGCATGCACCGAGGGATGTTCTACCTTTAATCAGCCAAAAGGAACAACCAAGCTGATTGGACAGCCACATTAAAGGTGGTTCATTGTCCTTTTGAATTCTCAGACCACCGGAGTATTAGCACAGAGCGTACCTGTCGAGCGTGCTCGCTCACCCACTCCTTGTCCACAGGGTTTCCTGCAGGGGTCTCCTCCCTAGGAGGCGTCCTAGTTGCCATTACGACAAAGTCCCTTTGGGGTGAGCTCTGAAATGTTAGTCATTAATATTGATTACTGTCTATTCAATTCACGTACGATAAATACTCTTTCATTTAATATAATGTGACCCAACAATCCAATACATTCAACAAACTGAGACACTAACTGCACAATTAATCAAAGTTTAAGCAACATCGCAATATGGGCTAGGGCGATATTTAAGAAACAGGAGGCACAGTTTTACAGACAAATGATGTGTAAATATTATTCTGAATGAAGGATGGAGTAGCTCCATAGAGGACCCAGCATACAAATCATATTCTACAGGCTTCAAAAAATATCTTTGTTAGGTACAAAAATCACACTATGATGATAATGAGAATAATCACGCAAAAATGATCAATCGCTCCAGTATTGTAAATCATATTGCAATTGCAATATCAGTTAAATAGTTACCATTTATCAAGTGTGCAGGCCTACTGCACACTTGATGACAGATAGATCAACAAAAGAGAAAACAGAAATGTGTCTAAAACTTGAGTTTTGTGCAAGTGATTATTTTCTAGTTTGTCTTGCAGTTTGGATAGCAAACTGTTACTCCGAGGCAGAAGTCCACCAGTTAACAGGACAGGATTACTGAGCAAAAGTTGAACTCCACATAGATGTTTCTGTATCACCTCACCTGTCCAAGTAGCAGGCCTGTGACTGAACCTGCTTTCTGTTCACACAGTTTAGACAGACATCCCTCCACAGCATCTTCTACGATATAACTGCGACCCATACTGCCTGAGGACAGAGAGGAAAGAGAGAGGGGGGGAGGCAACATAAGTTATAGACAATGTTTGTCTTTATAAACATGTCTGCAATGAGAAAGTGCTGGGAAATGTGGAAGAACACAGCAAATACTTTGTATACGCTTGCGATATAAAACTAAAGTAAACAATACAAAGTACAATTTAGGCTCAACGTTAAGTCCTATGCTTAAGGGTTGTATGCTCTAACTTTAGCCTACTGGTTTTATTGACTTCATTAAGCTAACGTTAGATGGCGAGTTCCAATTGAAATGAGTTTTTACAGCTTGAATTAGATGTTGTTCGGAGAAATTACCTGACAGAAGCAAGACAGTGGGTCAAATATGAGCCAGAAGGCAGGATACTTGCTATTAATTCTGACAGCAGGCAATGGTTCGTCAGGATTCGTAAGCAGTGCAGAAAAACTCTAGTTACCACTATGCTTTGCGCAATGACGTATTTCCGTCGCACGACTCTGTCGTAGGGGTCAAGTTACACAAGAAAACGGAACATTGTAAATAAAATTCCAAAATAAAACTTCCAACAGTAACCCAAACACAAAAGCTAGTTGTCAGCATCAGACTCTCAATGCGTTACTTCGGTTTGAATCCATCTATCAAGGTACTTTAATTACGACTTTTAAATGTCAAAGGGCAGTTACAGTTAGGCTTAACTAAAGTAAAACACATTGCAATATATTGTTACTGTTATCATCATTGAAAATAGCAATGTTTTCCTTCTGTTTTTTTTAATATAAAATAGAATTTTGTTCCACATAAAAAACAGATTTTTTTACTCCACCAGTCATGTTAAATCATAGGTGCAAATCCTAGGCTAGGTGGCTTCCTGGTTGTCAATGAGTACTTTATTTTGAAACTTTTCAACGCTTCCCGCTTAGGAGTGTGCCTTAAAACTCGGTTAGTTCAGCGGGTTTGTGGACAGTGCGACAATCATTTTACCAGCGTTTTTGCAATTTACTATTAATATTCAGGGGAACCGGGATAGGTGGAGATGGCGGCCGTCCTGCTGCAGGTTCTGGAGCGGACAGAGCTGAATAAACTCCCGAAAGGAGCCCAGAACAAGCTCGAGAAGTTTGTTACAGAGCTGCAGAATGCTAACGAGGCGCTCAGGACGCAGCACGAGCGCTTCAAAGCAGACAGCGGTAGGTAGCAACACTTTAGTAGAAAGTAATAAGCTCGTTAGTATGTATAAAGTGATTAAAAACCTCATGCCAAACTCCAGTATGATGTGAAGCTGTCTTCTGGTTAATTCGGCAAAAGGCAAATACATGCGTGTCCTCCTCAATGCTTAAATCTGCCAGCTAACGTTAGCTTCAGGGGCTAACTTTAGCAGACGACGCTGAAGTTAGCTTTGAGCTATATACTAAGACATTTTCATAAAAAGCTTTGTGTCAATTCTTTGTCTCATTTATCAACATATAAATAATTGTCATTTATCTGCCACTAACACCTGCCATAATTTCAGACCCTGCTCTTCCTCTCCTTCCCACCATTTGCCCTCATCGTGTTCCTACCTTTGCAGTCCCCTGACCTCCCAACTGCCTGTGATCCTCATTACCCCGTTATCCATATAGTTTATACTGTAGACCTGCACAGCAGCCCTGTCAGGAGCAACTCAGGAGATTTCGCTGCTTTTTTCGCATCTAGACTACATTAGACCTGGTCCTGATCTAAAACACTATACCTAGACTCATCAAACACAACATAAAAGGTTGCACGGGAAAGTGGTCCATGCAGGATTGAAAAAAAATAGGATAGTTTAAAATCACAATTGTAATCAGGAGACATGATACACAGTATGGCAAATGACTGGGCTGCTGTGCAGGTCTACAGTATAAACTCTATGGATAATATAAATGGATGGATAATACTCTGTTACAGTAAAAGTCCTGCATTCAAAATGTTACTCAAGTAAAAGTAGAAAAGTATTAGCATCTAAATATAGTTAAAGTAGCGACAGTAAAAGTAGTCATTGTACAGATTGGTCCATTTCAGAATAATATATATGATATGTTTTATAATGATTGATCATTAAAGTGTTCTCAAAGCTGGTAAAGATGCAGCTAGTTTGAATAGCCGCGTTCACACCGCAGTACTTTTCCCACTTTAGTTCCGATATAGTTCCGAAAAGAAAAAAAAGAGCCGGAACTAAAATTAGTTAATCAGAACCTTTTTTACCCCCTTTTCCGTCCCTGCTAGAGAGCAGGTACTTTTGTGGGAGAAAAAGGTTCCTATGTCTGATTGGCTGGGCGGAATGCAAACCATGCCCCGTAAAATTCCCAAAAAGTTTTTCAGTAAATCGCCAGAACGCCGACACCTCCTCATCACTCCACCGCTCCCATGTTTTTTTTTGTGTTGCCATAAGTTATTCTCTCTCCGTTGGTGCGTGGGGCTAATGCTAATAATGCTAATGCCACAAATACAATGGCGGCTTCACAAACATTTTCAGAGTTTTACGCGGCGTGGTTTGTGATTCGCCCAGCCAATAGAAATTGGTACTTTTTTTGTAGGCAGGCACTAAAAATGGGGGTAAAAGTTCCCGGCACTAAGTACTCTTTTTGGTGTGAACGCAACATTTGGTGTGAACGCAACATAAGGGGTACTCGCAACATAAGGGGTACTAACGGAACTAAACGGGAAAATACGGGGTAAAAGTACTCCGGTGTGAACGCGCCTTTTGTATACTGCAGGGTAGCTTGTGAATTTACTCCAGGTGGAACTAAAGTCTGATTTAACACTTGATTATATTTCACATCATTCATCCAGATCTGTAAAGTAACTAAAGGTATTCAATACATGTAGTGGAGTAGAAGTACACAATTTACCTCTGAACTGTAGTAGAGTAAAAGTACAAAGTAGCAACAAATTGAAATTCTCAAATAAAGAACTGTACTAAGTAAGTACAGTACTTTAGTAAATGTACTTAGTTACTTTACACCACTGCCAACAGTTGTTTTACTCTGCATTATATTTAAGGAATAAATCCAAGATGTGTTGAATTATTTCAGACTTTAGTAAAACTTCCCAAATGTCTGTTATGTTTACAACATTGTTATCAGCCCAGTGAACCTTACTGTAGCTTATAAATTGAAGTGAAGTTTGGCATGGCACTTTTTGACATTGGCAGAAAGTAACTAAGTACATTACTCAAATACTGTACTCAAGTACACTTTTAATGGACTTGCACTTTACTAGAGTATTTCAATGTTTTGCTACTTTGTACTGTGAAATATAATCAACTCTTAAATAGGGCTGCACGATTTTTGAAAAAAAATCTAATTGCGATTTTTCTGACAAATATTGCGATTGCGATTTCGATTCGCGATATTTGTTTTTAAGCGACCCAACGGAAGTTTATTGTAAAATGCGGCCATATCTCCGGCTGGGGAGGTCGCATCAACGTGCTCCTGTCTCAAGCACCCCCGCAGCCCGAGCTACGAGTGAAAGAACTAAACTTACATGAAACTTCCGTTGGGTTGCTTTTAAAGTCAAGCTTCAGTTTAAGATTCACCCTGTAATAGAAACATGTGATGGAGCATTACTAACCTGACTCAGATGCTTTGTTTCACCAAACCATCTAGGAAATGGAAGCCATTTGGAAAAGTATTTCAAAAATACTTGGCAGGTGATTGGATCAATCTGTCTATCACCTTCTATCATGGGCCACCTCTGATTGGTTAACAATGGCTGGTACATGTGGAGTACAGCACTTCTGATTGGTGTGGATGACTGACACACAAGAAGAAAAAAAAAGTAAAAGAAATCGCAGGCTTTGCGATTTGATAATCGCATCATTTCAAATTGCGATTTCGATTTAAAATCAATTAATCGTTCAGCCCTACTCTTAAATCAGACTTTAGTTACAATTGGAGTAAATTCAACAGCTAACTGTGGAGGAAATTCCACTTAAAAAACAGAAACAACCTGGTTGGCAAGAAATGAACAAATAATAGAAGTTTAAAGCAAAGTTGTTATTTAATAAAGTCAATAAAAGTCAAAAAGCACAGAGTTAATCTATTTCAGCTGAAAGGACAGAGTCTTGCACCAAGAAGTTTGTACAAGATCTGACAACATACAACAGAAAATACAAACATTTGATACACTACAGAAGGAGGGAAGGGGATGGTCCTCAGCAAGCAAATTGACATTACAAGAAGTGTTGACCAGACGGTTGAAACTTACCAGCTATGCAATATACATTACAGGAAAACCTTTGGCCAGACGGTTTAACTTGCATGTTAATTACAAACCAATGGTTGTAGAGACAGACTTTTGTCTGTTCTAAGGAAGTGGAAATTAGAGGCTAGCTGTGAATTCAAACCGTGGGAAATAAACAGATAATTAAGTTACAGTAATACTTAGGGCTGCACGATATTGAAAAAAACGTACATTGCGATATTTTTTTCCCCTGCGATATATATTGCGTTTTTTTTAACTATATTTAACCGGATGAAGGATTTTAGTCACGGACGTCTGGATCTTAACTGGTTGACTCATCATACCTTAAGTCATGATCTAACATGTCATGATAATGCATGTTGCTTACCCTCAAATAAGGGGGTTCATCTGTGAATGAAGAAGAGAAGAACCTTTTTGTATCCAAAATAGTTCCAGATGGCAGATGTTGCTTTTCTTTTTGGAAGTAAATCTTAATTCTCGCACGACCAAAAGCACGACCAATCATCTGAGCCGGCCCGGCTAAAATGACTGGATGGCCTACCTGCCTGTCAGCCTTCCATCTGTGCACAAACTTATCTCATGCCCTCATTGGTCATGTGTGTGTTGGAGGAGGGGCTCTGTAAGGAAGTGGCAGATTTCTTCCGGCTGTGTATTTTCAAATTCTAGTGCACTTGAGCTGGTTTCTCCAAAATGACCTACCCCACCTTTAATTATACATTTCCACAACACTAACCTTCAGCATACAAAGTAATAACCACATTAGTGCTTCAGTAATTATTATCAAAACATTATTCTAAAATGGGCCAATCTACATAATGAGTACTTCTACTTTTCGTACTATATTTTAGGTAGTATATATTGATGTTAATACTTTTGTAGTTTCACTTGTAACCGAGGATTCCTACACTTTGGTATTTCTACTTTTACTTAGGATTTAACGTTACTAAAAACAGCTCAGAGAAAATATGCTGCTCATTCATGTTCAAAACTTGCAGCCTTTCTATGATTTCTAAATATGTGTATATATACTTTTTTTATTATATATGTGTATTTGTATGTCCTGTGGCACATGAATAAACCATTTGCTAGAGAGTTCTGAGGTCTGATATGTATTCCTGTTGATGTCCTCCTCCCCTACAGAACAGCAGTACTTTGACCTTGAGAAGAGACTGGCTGAGAGTCAGGAGCAGATCCTGTCTGCCACCAGAGACCTGCAGACACTCGTGGAGGAAAAAAAAAAACTCAGTGATTAACATACGCTATTAAAACACACGCATTCTTTTCTTACAGTTTTTTGGGCACCCGTGCTTTAAGTTAACGGTTACCACTTTGATCGTCAGTGTTAACTGTGCCTTTTTGTCTTTGTGCAGATGAAGAGCTGAGCACTCTGAAGGGAATTGAGGCAGAGGCCCCTGAAGATAAAACACCACAACAGGTATGCTCCTTATGAATATCCATTCAAGTGTTTATAATGTTCTGATATTGTTTGGTTATGATGGGTAAGTTTACGTTGTTATTTGTCTTCAGTCACTTTTATAAAAATAACAAAACAAGTAGGCCTACAGTTTTTTTCGTTGTTTAAACTTTTTATTTAACGATACATTTGAATAACTGTAATTTTCGTTTTAGAAGGTAAGTGACATAGAAGAAGCTTATATTAAAGTGCACTGAATTTCACAATGTTGTTTTTAGATTTTGTTGAAAGTAAAAAATCCATTTGCATGGTGTTAGTGGCATTGGTTATTTCAATCTTAACTGATATTTCATGTGTTTTTATGTCTTTATTAGTGAACAGCAAAATTGGACTTTGTTTCCCACTAAATCACGTATAAATAGATGTTCACCTCTTAAATGTGTTGAGCAGATCCTCTTAACTTCGACATGTTTCTCAAATATAATGACTGCATGATTGCTATCATTAAAAGCTAATTGAGACTATTGAAAACTCAAACGTATTCAATATATATTATTCCAAATATTTAACATTTTCTAAAAGTATGGGCCGTTTTAAATTCCTGTGTGTGTGTGTGTGTGGGTCTACAGCAAACCAAGGCCAAGTATGAGATTGAGGCGGAGAAGAGAGAGCTGGCGAGGCTGCTGGAGAAGAGAACACAGGAGGTGGAAAACCTCTCTGGTGAGATATCAGCTTTAACAAACTAACCTGGAAGCACTGCTTGTTAATACTGCATTGTCTGTTTTCATAAGAAGATATGCAATCTGAAGCAGAGACTACATCTTTTATACGTAGGCGCTTGATTCAGATGAGTTTTGAGTGTTTCAGCTTCATGTTTTGTGTGTTTGCAGAGGATGTGAAGCGTCTGAATGAGAAGCTGACAGAGACCAGTAAGGTGAAGATGGAGCTGCAGCTAAAACTGGACAATATACAGTCATCTGAAGCTTCTGTACAGGTACACACTACACTTCATTAAAAGAACAACATCTCAATAGAACAACTCATGTCTAAATGCATTAAGCTGCAGTCTTACAAATGACCACTAGAGGCTCGCTTCAAGAAAACTCTTGGTTCTGTAATAAGAACAAGTTCCAAAACACAAATCTTCTAAAATACAAAGTAAGTTGTGTTTCTAACAGAAGTGACATTCTTAATATCTAATGCAGCTTTCTCTAAAGTGTGTATATATTTTGACATGCAAACTGTCTGGCTAATCCTTTGGTGTATTTGTTTGTGTTTCCAATTACTAATGAAAAACAGCATGTTTATGGCTTATCTCCACAAATAAGTTGCCAAAGCAGATACAAAGACTCTGAATCAAACATGTCCCTGTTCGGCTTAATATTAATGTGCGTTTGTTTTGTGATGTGACCACAAGTAGTCCACTTGCAATCAGATGACAAAAGATGCATGTTTATGCAAGGTCTAAAAGAGTAGAACTGATCCATTGATCACTAATCCTCAGTACATAATAGTAGATACAGTGCTAACCACAAAGCTCCGATTGTTCATTTGCTATTTGGGTTTGTATAATTTAGCACCGAGAGACGCGTATGGAGCAGGAGAAAGAGTTGCACGAGAAGAACATCTCGTGGTTAACAGAACAGCTGAAGACCAAAACTGAAGAGCTGCTGAACACCAACAGAGAGAAAGGCAAAGAGATACTGGAACTGCAGGGAGGTCTGAAGAACACCAAGGAGCAGGTAACAGTCGAAACACAAACTCAGCACAGTTTGGGATATATGCAGCTAGTAATACCACTGACTTTGGAATGTAAAACACATGTCAATGTGACAGTGTGTGTGCTGTTCTCCTCTCTGTGAACATAGCCTTCTGGATGGAATATGAGACAGTCAGTTGGCTACTTTATGTTCATTCTTCAGGGCTTTTAAAACGTGTCTTTTGAGCCAGACCAGCTACATTGTACCATGTAGAATCCAAATGATTTATTCTAGTAGGTTTTAACATACATAGAGCTCGCTTTGGTGTATTATTTTATATCAATTAAAAGTCAAAGTATTGCAAAAATCAAGAAGCATAAATATATATATAATATATAAAGTGAATAAAATATAAACAATAATGCCTTAAAAATACTAAAGACATAATGTAGAATTGAATGAAAACACAATACAATTATGAAAGAAAAGTTGTGCAAGTTTGAAAACGTGTGGTGGAGAACTGGGCAACCATTGTCCGAGGAATATGTAAATGTTCACAGAACGAAAGTATACTCCCTAAATCTAAGGGACATAACACAAATCTGATCTTTCTGCCCTCTGATGTCACGTTTCATTGAAATGACTCATTACAAATAAAGACATTGTGAAGCATGGCATCCTATCAGACTTTTGAAATCTGTTTTCTCTTCTGCAGGTGACCAGACTGGAAAGACAGCTGACCTCTCTGAAGCAGACCAGGGAAAGCCAGAGTAAAAGAGCTGACGATCTGAACAACAAACTGAAGCAGGTAATACAAACACACGCTGTGGTCTCAGCGATGAGCTTCATTCAGAGTATGTACAGCAGGAGAGCTGAAGGTCCTCGCACCATTGTTAGGACCCTCAGGTCCTTAAAGCAAGCTCTGAGGCATGTCCAGCTAAAAATACATATTTGAAAGAACCATAACGAGTGCTATAGAGACTTAAATATAACTATTTTCTTTCAGTATTGATTTTTCACTCTTAACTTAAAATGTACAGGAAAAGATTAAATGTTATCATGAGCAAAAAACATAAGTACAAATTAGACTAGTAAGGGCAGCTTAGAAATATGTGCAATATGTAAACATATGTAGTGTTGTTAATTGTTTATGATGTGAATGTCCCTCCAGTCTAAAGACGAGCAGAGTGCCATGGAGCAGAAATACCGCAGTGAACTCAACGCTCACATGAAGCTGTCTTCTCTTTACAAGGTAAGAATCACTTCAGGGCGCTTGACATATATATATATATATATATATATATATATTAGGGCTGTCAAGTTAACGCGTTAATAACGCGTTAACGCAAAAAAAAATTAACGCCACTAATTATTTTAACGCGATTAACGCATGTGTATTTTTTGTCCTCGGCCGCCGTAGTTTCAGAGCGCATCGAGTGTAAAATACCATCTACAAGCTGATGCTGACAGCCTCGCTCCTGCCGCCCGCTTGTGGCAGACCACACTACCACGCTCACCGGCAGGCCCGGACTGGCCATCGGGAGAACCGGGAAGGAGTGTGTATGTGTGGCGCGACTCGCGCGAGCGAGGCACACCTTACGTGTTGTTGTTGTTAGCATCTGGTGCTAGCTAGCTGCGCTGACGGATATAAGGAGCTGTTTCAATGACATTTCGCCGACAACTGCGCCGAGCACTTGACTTTATGCAGGTAGTCAGACAGTGGGACATTGTACGAAAAGTCAGCACACTCAGCACGGATAGTGCGCGCAACATGATTGCAGCGTCCAGGCAGCTCCCATTCGAGCATATATGCCTTGAGCTGCACATAGCTCCATAGATCCATCACAGTGTCTCTACACACACACACACACACACACACACACACACTTAGACACACACACACACACACACACACTCACATTTAGACACACACACACACAGTATTATTGTATGAGAGAGGTTCCAGGTTGAATTGAGGCGAATATTTGTAATGTTCAGAGATATCCCTCTAAGGTACATTTAGAACAGATAAAAAATGTGCGATTAATTTGCGATTAATCGCGATTAACTATGGACAATCATGCGATTAATCGCGATTAAATATTTTAATCGACTGACAGCCCTAATATATATACATATATACAGGGGTGCACATAACTGGTACGCATGCGCGGCAACAATCTGAAATGCGTACCGTCACTTGTGTCACAAAGCGCATTTGCGTACCGACGTAAATGTGAAGCTTTTCCAGAAGGCGGTTAGATCACCGGATCGGTCTCCGTGTGCACAGACAGGGCTGCTGTTAACGTCGGTTTGTACAGCAGCCCTGCACTAAAACAGCTGATCACAACGTTCACACGCTCCGCGGTCACGAAGCTCTGTACTCCACTTCCACCCCCCCCGTTGACAATCGCCAGAAGTTGGAGTACCAAACACTGACTCCAGGTACTCATCTGAGTACCTCACTGAGAAAGTTGTGTGCACCCCTGCAGCTCCAATGATCCATCACAGTGTCTCCACATTCACTCACACACACACACACACACACACACACACACACACACTTTGTATTGTATGAGAGAGGTTCCAGGTTGAATTGAGGCGAATATTTGTAATGTTCAGAGGTTGTTGTGTTTAATATTCATGAGAATATTTGTCATTGTTCAAATGATAATAAACAAACATATAAAGCATATTTGTCCACTCATATGTTGATAAGAGTATTAAAAACTTGAAAAATATCCCTCTAAGGTACATTTAGAACAGATACAAAATGTGCGATTAATCGCTATTAACTATGGACAATCATGCGATTAATCGCGATTAAATATTTTTAATCGACTGACAGCCCTAATATATATATATATATATATATATACATACTATTCTAAATATATTCTATTCTTTCAGTTTTGTACCGTCATGTTTTTCCACGTGTGTATTAAAGCGATGTGTGTGTGTGTGTGTTCTCCCTGTAGGGGTCAGCGGCAGACACGGAGGCAAAGAATCAGGAACTGAGCAGAGCTGTGGAGGAGCTCAGCAAGCTGGTCAAAGACAGCGGGGAAGGTAGACAAGTTTAGAAAAAGTCTTTTACACCTGCACATGTCTGCTACACTTAATCCATCTTATTCATTTCTGAATAGCTTCTCTTTTGTGAAACTATTTACCATCATGACAATTCTCAGCCTTACAGGCAAGAAGCAATTTCAGGCTTCTAACCAAAAACTTAAAAAAAAATCTTGTTTCTGAGACGAGGGAACCTGATCCACTCACTTACACTCATGTCTCACTGATAATTATTTATTATGAACTAAAGAGTGTGTCAAGCATAGAAGTATTCATATGTGATTGATCTCACTGTCTCTCTCTGCAGCCAATAAGGCTCTAGAGAAGAAGGTGTCTGAGGGAGAAGAAGTGAAGACGCGGCTTGAGGCAGAGCTCAGTGAGAAGCTCAAGAAAATGGAGAAAGAGCTGGAAAACGCCACGATGAAGGCCGCTGGCAAACACTGCTGTAAGAACACACGCATTTCTATCAAACTTTCATACCTTCATGAGCAGTATGTGCATTAGGTGTTGGTACAAGTGTATGAACTGTGTTGTTGTCCAGGTGTGCCCTCTCTGACTGACGAGCAGCTGGAAGCCATGTGTCCGTCAGCTGCCAACATCGCTGCCATCGTCAAGCCCGGCATGAAGTTCTTTGATGTGAGTTAATGAGACATATAGGGGCTGGATGATATATTTTTAACTGCTATCAGTAGCGAATGTATGCATAACCTATTCCTACCATACATGTTCATCATCAGTTCAGCTCTATGCTACTACAGTTGTATAAGCTGGTGGTTATCTAAATCTAACCAATAGAATACGGGTTGTGTATTGGCTCGTGTAACACTGCTTCACACCCAAAATGAAACCGAAATTAAAATATGACTTCACCCACAAAATGATACTCGCCCTGTGTTACCTATCACTATTAGGAACACTTTTATTTTGCATGCCACAGTAAACCAAGAATCCAAAAACTGAGAGAAGTATTGATTCATGGAAATAAATGGGGTCACTTTTGGCAGAACTGCCACCAAGAGTAACTTTATATACAAAAAGTGATTTTGTGTTTCAACTCTTCCTTTTATGCTACAAAGCTTAATTTAAATTCCACAGAGAAAGAGAGAATGGCAGATGCAGCAAAGACAATTGGATACCTTTTCCAATTACATGAAGGCACCATTGATTGTGATTTATTTATTGCGTGTTTTTAAATAAATTCAAGGGATCTACGCGTTTTTCACAAGAACTGGCCGTGTATTTAAGGTTGATTGGTCAAAGACTGAACAGTTAATTGAGATAGTCAGCATTACTGTGACACTATGTGTTTGTAATGAGAAACATCCGTCATTCATTGTTCTCTGTGCTGTGTGTAGCTGTATAATGCGTATGCAGAGTGTCAGACACACCTCCAGCTGGAGAAGCAGGAGACCTGCAGAGTGAACAGAGTTCTGGACGAGATCATCATGGAGGTGGAGTCCAAGGCTCCAGTCCTGAAGCGTCAGAGGGAGGAGTACGAGAGCATGCAGAGGTCCATGGCTTCACTGTGCTACAAGCTGGAGCAGGCCCGGAAGGTTAGCAAGGATTCACATTCATTCTGTTTGTCGCATGTTATGCATGTATTCTATCTACATGTATTATCAAGAAGTAACTATTCCCCTTTTCTCATCTAGAAAACGACATATTAAGTTTAACATGACGTGCTTTGTCTTTGTCATCAGGAGATCTACAGTTTGCAGAAAGAGAAAGAGGAGGCCAAGCAGCGCTGTGATTCCATAGAGAGAGAGAAACAGAGGATAGATAGGCAGCTTGAGGATACATCTACACAGGTACACACTTCAAAGAAATCCAGTTGAATTCATCTGATAAGATCCACATTACTATTCTGCCAATATGGTCATTCAGTATAGGCTGTCCAAAGAGCCAACACTAAACACAGGAGAAACACTGACATACAAATTGTGGGTTCCACTACTTGTGCGTGCGTTTGAACATTTACTCCTCCTTAAAACACACAATCTGAACCACTTCCCTTATTATAAAGTTGTGTATGTGCAGGCTCCCACCTCTGTCAGTGCCAAAACGTGTGCCTAGGTCAAAGCAATAAGGTGTTTTAATGACTTACTAATCATGTAAATAGGGAATTAAATAATATATTTTCTTAAAGTAATCATGATTAAAATGCTAAATCAGAAGGATGAGCGCCACCCCCTCAATCGAAACCATCCTCCATGTTTCTGTCCCCGCCACTTTCTGTTTGCAACGGACTTTCAAAATAATATTAATAATAAACTGTTAATGCGAGATCAAATAATTGTCGGCCTTAATTAATTAATGCGTTATTATCGCGCTAACTTGCCCAGCCCTAGTTTTAATATATATATTCATAGATAGAAATTAGCTTAAAAGGACTTCTCACAAACAGATGAAGAGACTTTATTCATCCCGAAGGAAATTCTTGTGCGGGAATTACAAAAGATACAATAAACATAATAATAGTAACAATAATATGAATAATAACAATGAACACTAACAATGCAGTAAAAAGAACAAAGACAAACGGTACACTGAGGAGCAGTACTGTAACGGTACAAAAGAAAAGCTGGCAGATATGATGTGGCACATGTTATCATTGCTCATGATATAAAGCAGAGAGTGTTACCCCTACTTATCGTCGGTAACGAAAGGAGATCTCTGCTGATTGGTGCAGAGGAGTTCATTCAGAACTGTGTCTCTCTTCCAGGTGTGTACTCTTCTGGTGCAGCTGGAGGAAGCTAGGGGTAACGAGGTGACCAAGGACGACGGCAGCTCCTCTAACTTCTCCAGCCCCTCGGAGGTCACCAGTCCGCTGTCCTTCCGCAGCGTGGAGGAGCTGCAGAAGCAGAACCAAAGCCTGCTGGGAAGGCTGAGGGAGCTGGAGGAGGAGAAGGACCTCCAGAAGAGCCAAGCCACATCAGCGCGGTAAGAAGTGCTGTTATGCAACAACAACTGACCTACTAGTGGCAAAGTGTTTGTCTAAGGTGACTTGCAGGTAACATAAAGTAAGATGCGTGATTTGGATTACAAATGCACATTTAAGTATTTTATGTTTTTATCGGGATAGTGCGTAAGAAAAGAGTGGCTGAGTTGATGCTCTATGAGGAGGAAGCTCTTTATTTTAGGAATTAAACAACATAAAGTAGTAATAAAATCATAGATATTATCTGTATAATCTCTTGATGAACTTCATTTGCTAATACAAGAGTTTAAAAAAAAAAAAAGAGCCAAAGAACGGACATTACCTACAATAACCAGCGACAAATCAGCAGAATAAAATAAATGAGAAGTGAGCAAACTTCATAAAGGAAGACATGCACTGATATACAGAAACTAAATATTCTATTTGATTATAGAGCAAATTCTTATATTTTTCAATATAGCTAAATTTTGTGTGATTTTGTATTCTTCTGTACAAATGCATTCAAATGCTGTCATCGTTTACACATGAATGAAAGCCGCACATGTGTTCATGTTGAGCAGTGTATTCCTGCCATACAGTAGATCAGGTGAAATGCAGCATTGGTGAGCAGTAAAGCTATTTCCTTTTTAAACTGAGCTCTGTCTCTGTGGCTCCCTCTAGTGTGTCCGAGTTGGAGGCGAGTGTGGATAAGCTTCTGAAGGAGGTGGAGCAGCTAAGGGAGCAGAGGAACCAGCAGAAACAGCTGGCTGACTCCAACGCCCGGCAGAGGGACATGTACAAGGCCCTGCTGACTCAGAGCACCGGCTTCAGCCTGCCCCCCCAAGGTCACAGGGAGATGCTAACACTTCTTGTCTCTTTCTCAACGCGTCACTGTGTTTTTACAATGAGATCATGTGTGTCTGCAGGTCTGGATTCTCCTTCTCAACCTGCACCTGTTAGGCCGTCAGTTCCTGCTACTCGCTCTACTCCTCAGAGAGTTGCTGCTGCTGAGTCAGCACAGACTGCTCAGACTAAAGCTGCCTTAAAACAGGTATACACACACCTACACACACACCTGCACACATACCTACACACACACCTGCACACACACACAGCAACATTTCACATTACTTGTGGATTTGACCTCTGCATTATTTGTGATTACTTGCGTCAATCAAACTAGATAAAGATAATGAGATAACATTTTCTTTATTGATCCCAATTAAAAATAATAAATAATGTGACATTTTAAGAGTAGAAAATAAACACAAACGGTACTAAAGAATAAAATATATACATGTAGACAGTGAAAGATAAGAATCTGAAGAATAGCGCAATAATAAATGAAGGGCCAAATGACCAAACAAAATGTAAAAGTAGTGTGCAAGGAATATCATATTTAATGAAATATAAATGTAAAATGTACAGTGTGAAGAAAAGTCTGGTTATCCAAAGAAAAAGGATGGAGCTGTGAGTTCTCTGCTAGCCAGAGGCGAGTTGTTAGACGGTGTAATCTGTCCTTGTGACAGATGCACAGAGGAGGTGGGGCCTATCTCCATGTACATACTTAGTTACCAAAAACAAACTCTCTTCTCGTTAGAACATCATCTGGAGGAACAAACTGCTCAAAAGAACTGTCCTAACTGTCTCTAACACATCACAACTTGGCGCATACATCTTGTTTGCTAAAGTGATATGAAGCCAAAATGAACATATTTTGCTAAGATTGTTTTGCATTAAATGTATGAAAAGACTGTGTGAAAAAACCACATAGTGAAAAGCGATTTTGCGTCTATCCATGTCTTTGCATTGACTGCATTTGTAATCGGGCCGCACCAAGAAAGTTGGTTTGCATCTGATGGGAATACCTGAAAAGTGTTCTGACTGGATGTGTTTGCTTCTCCAGCTGAATGACGCCTTCACTCTGTATAAGAAGGAGAAGGCAGAGAACGACAGGTTGCTGAATGAAACCAACGACCGGCTGCAGAAGCAGCTCACTGATCTCCGCTCCAGCCACGCCAAACTCACCTCTCAAATTGAGTTCAGCAGCAAGAGGTTTGCCAAGTCCATGCTACTGCGGCCCCTGCCTCATATTTTAGCCCTTGCAGGTGTTTTTGATGCACTATGTGTTTGTTCTGTTTGTCTCTTTGTATGTCAGGTACGAGATGCTCCAGGACACCGTGTCAGCCCAACGCAGAGAGATCTCCGCTCTACAGGACAGGAACCAAAAGATGGCTGCCACTGCCCAACGGCACGAGCAAATCATCCACACCATGAGCCAGGACCTGCGGCAGGCTAACGAGAAACTGGCGCTGGAAGAGGTGAGCAAGAGGAGAAGCTTAATTATCTTAAAGATAATTAGAACATCTGGCTTTTTTTCTTCAACTGGAAAATACACGATTAGAATTTACTCTCCCCAAAACACATTTAGCATTTGTCACTTTATTTATCAGATCCAGCTGCAATGGAAGTGATAGAAACATGACACGCTCATTTTGGACACTTTATGTCACACGCTTAATCAAAGTGACTATACAATAGATCACATGTAGCAGGGATTTGGACCATTTTAACAATTTATTGATGAGCCAAACATAAATAGTTTACATGAATACGCACTGATCTAAGACAAATAAAATGTAATTTTACTTTGCTGATTATCATAAAGTAAACAAAATCAAACCCATCTAAAAGGTTATTTAGTATTATTTCCACTGTTCCAACTATCACCATTTGAAAGTAACATCATCAGCACAGCCCTGGCGTTAAACGTGACTCACCAGGAAAACATGCTTTTCAAGTTTCTACATTTATATGGAAATAATGGATCCTTTGCCATTATTGTGAAGTTTGAATAAAAAGTTTGGACTGCTAAATAAATCAGTTTGGCATGTACATACCCCTTTTAGTGAGAACCCCCCGCCCAAACTGATTATATTTCCCCACCTAATGAACAACCAGCGTGCAAAATCTAGTTCAGATTCAATCATTACCATGAGTTCCCTGAATTGAGTGACTACCAAAAAACTCAAGTGTTACTATCTTAAACATTGTGCCCCTGCCACCTTTCTGTCTCCCAGTAATAACCGGATGACTTTATTCCCCTCTGTGTCTGCAGGTGCGTGTCGAGAACTTGACGAAAGAGAAAGACATGTTGAGACAAGCAGAGAGTCGACTCAATAGAGAGAAGGAATCTATTCTGGTGGAGCAACGCAACCAGAACCTGCTGCTGACCAACCTGAAGACCATACAGGTACCAGAACAGGGGACGCTTGGTATTCTCAGAGGACCCTTCAGACCTTTCACCTCTCTTCTTATTTCTTTATCGCAATAAGCCTTCATTTATGATGTAAAGCAATGACTTAGTAGTGGTATAATGAAATGTTACTGTTTCATGGCAGACGGTCATGAAGTTGCTTTGACACTATAAAACAATCATTTGTTACGCCTCCATGGTGCAAACATTCATGTTATACTAACAATTTCTCCTTTTCCCCTCCTCCTCTCTCAAACGGTTGTAGTTGACGATGGAGCGTACAGAGACAGAGACTCGCCAGAGACTGAACAACAAGGTGGAGCATTTGGAGGCAGAACTGGCTGCAATGAAGACCAAGCAGGACCAGGAAGTAGCACAGAGACACGCCCTGGGGCGCACCATGGACGTATGTAGAACATGAACATTTAGTGTGTTTGTTTGTATACATAACTGTTTAAAAATTGGGAATCTGCTGCCACCAAGCTATATAAGGTCCAGTCAGATGTCTAAGAGGACAATTCTTTCTTTTTTTTTAGTGGTCGTTCACGCTTTTAGGTTGTGGAACAAGCTACTTTAAAACACTGTGCAATAGTTCAACCAGACTGATGCTGTAAAGGGCAGCAAGAGAAGGACCCTCTGACCACTGTTAAATAATAATAGAAACAAAACAGCAGTCATTGATTAAAGAAGCTTAGCATCATAGATACGCATATTAACAGAGGTATTTTAGAAGTGAGGTTGTATAAGGTACTATGATCAGTGTGAAGCAGCAGTCAGGAACAAAGCTTATATACATCTGTGCTCTTTTTAAAGCCACCAAACTCTATTGAGAAAAACTGTTATTTTAAACATGGAGGTTGCTGGTTTATTGATACCTCAATGTCTTCATTTGTTATTTGTTGATGTGCAGCTTCAGTGTTTTTAAAGTCACACAACTAACCTATCGAGGCAGCGGTAGACCAGAAAGGATTGTGTTATGGGAAGTGAAATGATGTTTATATTCGGAACAGGAAAAGCTTTTTGCTTCAGTGACGGGTGCACAATAATCCCTAAAACATCTGGAATGAAGGTAATTGGTTGCTTTAGCAAAGCACTTCTTCAAACTTCAAAATAGAAATAGATTTAGTCTAGGGTTAGCATCATTAGATTTTGATCGTCTGGAAAATCACAGTTTAATCCTCTTCAACCTCAACAGTGAATACGCTGCTTGGGGCCCACAGGAAAAAAAGGCTTCCCTTAATATTCATAGCATAATTGTACCTTTGTGCTTTAATAATGGTTGAAGTTTACTCTCCTGCAAAACTGTGGGGAACTCGACATTGGACGGAACATTTAATCATTGGGTTCCCTCTTTTTGCTGCCAACAGAAAGATCAATGTAACGGCTGATTCTGAACTTTTGAACAGTACTGTTTTACTTCTTCTTCTTTTTTAAGTTGTTGGACACGGCAAGTAACCCTGTCCTGTTTCTCCTCTCTAACCCCCCCCCCTCCTCCACAGGCTCAGTTATTAGAGGCTAAAAAGCAGCTGGAGACCCAGAACACCTTGCAGCAGAAGACCAGGGAGTTGTTGCGCAGCTCTGAGCAGCAGGTGGCAGCACTGAGAGCTCAGCTGGCTGCTGCTGCTGCTGCTGCTGCTCCATCCTCTGAGGCTGCCCCCCCCTCCAGCAGCACCCCCACCACCCCAGCTACCAGAGCTGCAGGCCTCAGAGCTCCACTCAGAGGTAAACAGCATCCCTCGTGATGAAGGGCCATCTTTGTAGTATGTGGAAAGACTTTTGAAAAATTAGGTTTTCAGTTTAGTGATGATTGTGTTATTACTGTGACAGTGTATTAAAGCCAGGCACGGCATGAAAAAGCACTTTGGGCGATTATTCTAGAACATGTCTTATTCCAAACAAGTGAGACAACTGTTGACAGTATTTTCTAATTTATGAAGTGATAGAAAGAGATACCTGAAATGTTCTCAGTAAAAACCTTATTTCTAGTATGTCAACAAAATGAAAATAAATATTTTGAACCCGGGTTTATTCATATCTCTGTACCAAACACGTGTGCAAATTCATACATTCAATAAACGATGCCTAATTTTCACATTTTAACAAGCAATCATAAATCCAGAAATTCAAAAAGTAATTGTCTAAATGTAAGTAATCAAGTTGTTGATATCCATTAGTCCCACCTGAAGTGTATCCCCTTCACAGCTTAGTTTTTGTCTCTGTGTTCCCTCAGTGCGCTCTCCAGTGCCAGCAGCCTCGCAGCAGCTCAGCCAATCAGAGCAGGAGCTTGCAGAGGCGATGGGTCTCCTGCGTACTGCAGAGGAACGGAACAGAGAACTAACAGAGCAGCTGGAGAATGCAAATGCTAGGGTTGAGCAGTACAGGGCCGTGGTGCTGACTCTGGAGGACAGTCTGAAGAAAGAAAAGGAGGTACAGCTGATGTGTCATTTATCTTCACACACTATTCTTATTCATTATGTTTGTTGTCTATTCATACACTCCGATCCAATTGTTATCTGACTTTTCTCCATTCTGTAGTCTCGCTCCCCTCTGGAGCTCCGGCTGAAGGAGTCTGACGAGGTTCAGAAGCAGCTGGAGAAAACCATCTTGGAGGCTGAGAAGATGAAGCAGCAGGAGAGAGAAGAGAGGAGAAAGGCTGTGGATGCTGTGGAGAAACAAGTAAAGCCCGCTGCACGCCGTAATACAGGATCTGCTCATTTGATATTATAGTACATTTGATATTGTTGGGTTTTGGATTGTTGGTTTAACGTTTTTGATCAAATGCACAATAGTTACAGCGTAGTTGTTTGCAATGAACATCTTAAATCCTTCAACAGTGCAACATAAAACATTGTTGAGATCTATTAAAAAAACAGAAATAGAATATGGAACATATTGCAAGTGGAGTTTATCGATAGTGATAAAAACACTCCCGATGAGTCGATTGTGGTCCATCTCTGTTATCTTGAATGATGAATATCCTCTTATGAGTGATTTTCTTTTAAGTTAAGTTGGCTCAGCCCGCACAGTGTTGAGCTCCAGGTGATGATGCTTGTTTCCCTGCTGTGTTCCAGCTGTGTGAGGTGCAGCGCTGCCTGAAGTCCAGCCAGACGGAGCAGCAGGAGGCGCTGGAGAGAGCTGCTGCTGCTGTCACTAAGGAGCAGAGAGCCATACAGGAGAGCCTGCTGCAGGTACACACACACACACAGGCTGGGTGTTTCTCAATGTCGAGTATGCTTGCTTGGTAGCACATGTCTTCCGAGTCACTTCTTCAGAAGAGGCAAGAATCCTTCCTAGCCTCGGAAAACGAAGAATTGTAGAACAGGCTAACAGGTGTGCAGGTGTGCGTCATATGCGAGGCCCCGCCTTAAATGGCGTGCGATTTCTGCCAAAGATTTGGAAATTGGTCCGTGCGCAAAGCATTGTGGGGATTTTAAGACCGGAGTCCACACATGTGCAGCCTCGAAATTTCTCGCTACGAAGTACGCCGGCCTCGGTAGAATTCCACATATGCTGTACATTGGAACAGTCCTTCGGCGGTACTCGATGACGTAGTGTGCTTGAAATAGTGGCTCTGGAGCAGCTTTCCTCGACATTGAGAAACACATAAATACACATACACATTAGGGATGTGCATCTCCATCACTGAGGCCGATGCGATGCGCATCTCGATACGTTGCCAACGATACATTTGAAGCACCAGGCGATACGATTCACCCCTGTTGCGATACAGTTCGATACGATTTGATTCAACATTATGCGATTCGGGGCGATACGATGTGATTCAACACGATGCAAAATAATGATACAATTCAATATGGTACGACAGAGGAATTTGTTTTATTCCTTAGCAAATCATAAATCAACAAAAAAGTGCTTTACATATTTGCTTCTCTCTACTAGTACTGCACATTATGCTGTTTCTTTTTTACCTTAAAGAAACCAAACACTTGGACCTTTCACAAACTGGCCTTTTCATAAGTGTAGTAGTGTTCTCTGTCTCCAGAGTACAGTTCAATGTTATAACACCTCACAGTTAAACAGTTTAAGGATGCATTGCCCAGGATTAACAATGTACAAATAACAACTACCATAGTGCAATGCCCATACAGCTGCTGACTGATGTGCTTAACACTCATTCATAGGCTAACTCACCAGTGAGCAGAAAGCAGTGGTTTCTATAGGAGCAATAAAGAATACAAATAACCTTTCACAAACAGGTATTTCATAACTGCTTACAATTGTAAGGAAGACATTTAAACTATTATTGGCAGTCACAGTCTGCTGTAAACTAAACACCACTCTCACTGACAGAACACCTCACTGAGTGATTTAACTCATATGTCTTCATATGTTTCTTTTCAGACGCAGACCCCACGTCATACTAGCCTACTTGTGTACTTTAAAGCGGCACGGCATCGTTTATAATTTGCGAGCGATTTTTCAAGTTGTCGTCTTTCTTGTAAAATCCGAAGTGTTGCCAAACGTTTGATTTGTAGGTATTTTTCGGTGCGCTGTGTTTCTCTTTCTCCTCGACTTCCATGTTTGTTGATAACTGAGACTCTCGGCCTCCGTAGTGGCGAAGCAAAGATCAAAGATCGTCTCTGCTGAGTGCTGACAGGATGAGAGGATATTATATGAATGAATCGTTTTGTTACCGATGCATCGCGAGTTCAACCAAACTGTAGCCGATGTGCACTCTTTCAACCGGTGCACTCGCATTTTGAACGTTTATGCCGGTGCACCGATGCAAATCGGTGAATCTTAACATCCCTAATACACACACACACACACACACATATAGTATATATATTTTATATATATACTATATATATATATATATATATATATATATATATATATTTTTTTTATATATATATATATATATATATATACTATATATATTTTTTTTTTTATATATTATATATATATATATGATTTTACATCAGAAAGTTATAGTATTCATATAAATGGGTTTGGTCAAAGAAATTTCTATCATTACCGTTGATACCGTTGCGCTATTTATAAAAAATAAAGAAAAAGGCTTGTATTTGTACACACGCATACACTGATGCTGGTTCAATAACCCTGTCCTTAACAGTTCTGTTATCCAGCATTGGCTCACCTGTTTCCTGTCCGTCCTCCTCTCAGACTAAGCTAGCTGGAGAGGCGCAGGCTAAGTATGAGAGGGAGCTCATGCTTCATGCTGCGGACGTGGAGGCCCTGCAGGAGCTGAAGAAAAGATCCCAGCAGGATGGAGCACGGAAGAGAGAGCTGGAGGAGCAGCTGAACAAGACCTCGTCCCTCCTGCAGCAGAAAACTGCAGCTCTGAACTCAGTGGAGAGGCAGCTCAAGGTAGGAGGCCTTTTATATTGGTGTTCGTCAAGCATAGACAAAAATATATAATTAATAAAAAGTGTAGCAAAGATTTGTCATAAAACCAAACTCCAAATCCAACTCCCGCTGAGGCACCAGGAAGCAATTTTGATGCAGGAATAAATCAAATGACAAATATAGTTTGTGCCGTTAATCCTCTTATCATTATCAAACAATGCAAATAGAAACGGGTTTTACGTCCTCAATTTCCCTTTCGCTCACCCTGACAAAAAAACATACGTTATAGGTGCCCAATCAAACCTCCACCTGTCTGCCATTTAAAGAAAACAACCCATTCAGCCCTAAGCTGCCTTCATAATAAAAGCATAAACAACTACTCAAATTGATTGAAATAATAACACTAAATAATGATCAATTTACTATATACAAAAACAGAAAGAAACCTAATATTTAGGCTGTGGGCTGGTGTCTCCCTGTCTGTCGGCTAAACTCTGCTGCTAAGGGATGGCGGACTGGACCGTTGGTGAACTCCAGCTCTGTTTGATTGGGCCGGTCGGAGCAGCAGAGTGTGATGTGCAGTGAATGTGTCAATACATCGTTTAACTTGCTAACTACCATACATTGTCACTAGCTCCTAACATTAGCTTTAGCCTGCGTTTTCTAATATATTTTTTCATGGGCATA